GAAAACACCCATTTGAAATTGTGGGGAATGCAGCCGGTTGCAAGCAAAGTTCAGTGGATTTAACCACACGGTGTTGACTGGCCCAAAGCGGCCACAGCCCTGGGATGGTTCGACAGGTTTTATTATGCTCTCTTGGTGACTGGCAGGCACCTCAGAGGGGGCGATGGGAGCTCTAACTGCTACACTCAAGCAAAACCTTTATAAGTTGACACCACAGAGAACACTGAGAACATACAGTTTATCTTGTTCTTCCTGTTAGTCATGTTCCAGGGAACCGGAGCGAGAGGAAAGGAAGTCATGAAATCCTATTGTCCCACCACTTAGAGCAGGTTGGAATTAAGACTTTTCAAGAACAGAACAAGACACATAGGTAAGAATACAGAGCACAGGCATCATGCTAGTTGGTTGTTCAGCAAAAATAGGGGCTCTCATAAAGTATATCCATTCTGCTTATTAAGAGCCGCTTACATTTTGAACTGTCAGTTTACAATAGCCTCTTAAGTCAAAAGCAGCTACGCTCCTCAAATAAATCCAATGAAACAGCAGTTATTTCTACTACCTGACAGCAACAGTAATACCTAACTAACAATTGTGATCAATACTTACGTCATTAGAATAGTCTATATATTAGCGGTAATTCACCAAAGTTACAAAAAAAAGGAACAAACACAACATTTTCTTTGTCTCCACTTCACACAATAGCTGCTAACTAACTTAGATTTAATTGAATTCAGGGCCTTTTCTTATTCACAACAGAAGCCATGACAAATCAATTCTCCATGGTTTCTCCTTAAATCCAGACATATTTCATTTTTAATTGAACCAGGCTTCTGTAAACTATTAAATCAAAAATAAAAATAGATTCTGTAAAATATAACTTAAAGGCTAGAACTTATCTAGAAAAAAATCTGAAAAAATCACACACAAATAATGGCAAGAGAAAAGTTTAACACAAAATATTTTTATGAACAAGTTAAAAGGCATAATGGAATAATATTGAGTACAGAACATAAATGGAGAAGAGGGTGTAAGAATAACAGTGAACACATTAACATACAGGACAATGCTACTGCATGATAAACAAGTGAGTTGCTACCTCATGTTGATAGTTCAACTGTTTTAACTGGAGTGATTTGCTCACTTTAAGACTCTTCAGTGCAGGAGAGGGACTGGTTAGCTGGCAGTGCAAGGGAACTTCTAAGGATGCAGAGGATGAAGACACAATGCATAACATGGGACAAGACAGCAAGGAAAAACCTTCACAGAGATGCTAAGTCAGAAATCGCTCAGTACGGCTAGGAGAAAGTAACGTGGGAAGCAACAACTTGAGTGTAGGAGTAAAAAAAAAAGAATCCAACAGATTTTAAGAACTGACACTACCGAGAAAAATATGAATTCCCTAGGAAAGAACTGCGTTATCGTTCTTTTCTTGTCTCCCCTTGCACAGTGTGCCCTGCCCTCAACGTCTCAAAGAAAAACCCACACGTCTGAGGGATGGCATAGGACAAAAAAAATCATAACATCCTCCAAAACACTATCTAAAACCCACATCAGTTCAAAGATCAGAAGACACTGACAAAGCATTAAGGTTTCACAGTTAAGAATATTTGTTACCAGCTCATACTTTAAAACTATTTTTAGTTCAAAGACACATTAAGATGCGATAACACATGTCTAGGCAGGTTCTTTTATAAACACTACTTGCACTTACTATTTAAACGGGGATGCAAAAAGTTACAGAACAGTACTAACCCACCCTGACTGAAATTAGTCTTGCTAAGATAACCTGTATCCAGAAAATCTTGTTTGTGTTCCCACACACTTCCTCTGCAGACTGGCACAAGACTTCTGGCCTTTACTACATTTGTCTTCCTTCGCATTTGCTGAATATCTTATTATTCTTCAGGGTGTATAAAGATTAATTTGTTTACCAATTTCCAAGTTTACCTTATTTATCTACCAGTTTTTTCAGATCCTCCAGCAGAAAGTATTACGAAACTAAGTTATATGTAAAATGAAAGTTGAATTCTAGATGAGGCTCTTCAGCAGACATCACCTACTTCTCTAACTTATGCTTTCTTATTTACCATATTGCCATTAAGTATTTTTAAAATGCATATTTCATTTCTACTTAGGAGGGGAAAAAAAAAGAAAACGAAGAAAAACTTATGCAGATCTGGAAAAGGCTGTCCATAGAAGAAATTTTGCTGTGTTGAAACCTTCCTGTTTTCCTTGGAAGTCAGAGAAGTTTTCATGAGCTCCCTCTTTGATTAGAGCAAACTATCAACTGGTAATTACCATATATCCACAGACCATGAATCAAAAGTCACTATGCAACTGACTTACTGGGAATCCAACTACATGAAATTACTGCGTTCTTATTGCCCTTTTTATTTTGTAGGTACATCTTTTTTGCTGAACGTGCAAATCAAGTTTCTGCCGTTCCCACATACTGTAATTTTTTCCTGACTACAATCACACCACTGCGCAGAATTCAAGGAAAGTGGGAAGATTCTTCAGGACACACCTCAAAAAAAACAAACCCCAAACCAACAACTTTACCTGCCTAGGGAAATCTAATATGTGCCCTTTTGCTTACATCTGGACACTCTTCCTTCAGTTTATTTCTCTCAGCCACACCACTCAGATTATATTTGCTTCGTGAAACATACTCTTGAAGCATAAGAGAACCAAAATACTTTAACATTTCTTTGAAGTTTTCCTGCCCAGTTCCTCTAAATTCAGAGGGTGGAGACATAACCACAGGACTACACAAAGCCCAAAGGCATGCTGTGACAAAAAGGCATCCAAGGCCAGTGGACTGACCCAACAGAGTAAAGTTTCACAAAGGAGTTGTATTCAGAAACGTTCTGCATTACAGGGTGGATCTGAGGCAAGGGGTTCAAAGGAAAAAGGCAGATATTGTATGCACTCTCAAGTTGCCCTCCCAGCGTTTCTCAAATCTCTGATAATTTCATAAAATGAAAAATGCCAACACTGCCACATTAAGCATCACTGAATACAAACGTTTTATCAGCAATCTGCAGCCTAGTGTTGTTAATTTACATTTCAGAACAATGAAACTTTAACAAGTCAGTCACTCACTGGTTTGAAGTCTGACCATGGTAAGTCATGGTAGCAGCTTGTAATTAGGGCAGTAGTGCTTACTGCTTTGAACTGCTTTCATCCCGCTGACAGCTCTTACCTTTTCAGAGTTTGTAAAAACATCAGACTTCAGCTCTCCATCCAGAAACTCATTAAAGTATTTCATCAGCTTCTGAGCCTCCACAGCCCGTTGCCGTGGCGTGTTTACCCCCTCCAGTTGGTCGCCAAGGTGACAGACCTTCGTTGCTACATAGCTGATGTGCTCATCTAGTTCTTGGAAATGTTGGAAGGCAACCTGGGAGAACATAGACACGGACACAAAACTCATGATTTCCATTTACTGTACTTTAGGAAACGCTAGATTTACTTCAGTAAGCAGCACAGTGCACGCGGGCATCAGCTCTCCAGGTGCTGTAGCTCAGAACTACAGAACTACTCAGAACCACTAATTAAGTACACACAACTGCTTAAAGCTCAGTGTCCTCCTTTAAACCATTGTGAGGATTCGCTACTTTCAGAACAGCTAACGTTCATTAACGGAACATGCAGATAAGCCCCCTTTGACAGGGGAAACTGTTTTCCATCAAACTCTCTTTATTCTTATCTCAAACAGTAGCACGCTGTACCAAGAAATGTTAATAGAGCATGTGATGCTTTTAAAACTTGCACAACTTAGCACTGACTATACTCTAGATTTTACCTGGTTGCTTTTCTGCAGCTCTTGTACTTTCTTGGCAAATTCCTTTGCTTCCTTCTGGCACTGTTGTTCCAGTTTCTCCACCTTTCTCTGAATCCTTTCGTCCATTACCTGTAATTCTTGGATATGATTTACAAATTCTTCTAATAATCTGATATAAAATAAGACACAGGAAAGCAGACTTTAGTTTGAAACACATTCTGCAGAGAGCTTAAAAAAAAATCTCAAAGAAAAGAACTTGCCTACAAGGCTGATATAATCACGTCTAACTTACAAACACTATTTTGTTTTAAACTACAACACCCTAGTTGTGTAGAACTCTACGCCTACGTAAAAACTATGTGATCACATATGAGGTAGGCCAGGGAAGAAGGGAATACCTAAATACCAGTCAAGAACGTGGCTCTGCCACAGGTACAAAAATCCCTATATGCTCATCTTCCCTAAGTCTCATAAGCACAAGGAGAGCTCAGGCCACTACGTCCCTTCAATGTAAGGGCTGTAACAGGAAAATATTTTCTACTGCATGTGTTATTGTAAACTTGTAAATCAGCATCTATTCATAGGCAATCAATATAATCATATAGTCTCTTAATGTTGTTTTGGTCATAAACATGCTGCTTCCTGACTTCACTTCTTCCTGTAACATACCATTTGAAGTTATTTTTCTGCCCTTTCCCATCACTTTGATTTTTCTTTCAGACTCAACACTTTACTCTTCCCAAACACAGTGTATCTGAATGCATTCTTTCTTCTACTCTTTTTTCATTCCATTCTCAATGTCTCTTTCTCATTCCTGTTTTTGTCCATTCTGTCCCATTCCAGTCAACTTTTCAGCTTAGACTTTTCTGAACATCCCAGTCACTGATGCTCAGAGAATTATTCCCAGATCCTCCATAGCCATAAAATTCACTCTAATAACTGAAAACACATAGAAAATTTGAGAACTCTGCTGTCCAGGTTTAATGTCAAAGCAGAGCAGGAGAGGCAACAGGAATCCCTTCCAGGGAGCTATTTCTAGACTACTCGGGAATCTGCACTTTCACATATACCCTGTTCAGAGGGCAGACTGTGAATGCGAAGCCCTTCCAACCTGCAGTGCTGCTGAAAGGCAGAATGAGCACACTCTTCCTCTCCTGCCCCCCCCCAGGCTGGAGACTCTCAGCAACCAGAAGGGAGAAGTAAACACGTTGTTCTACCCTCACACGACTCCTTCCCAGCAACAACTACAGCAGCTCTCTTGGTCAACATCTAGAGCTTTCACCCAAACAATACTAATGGGATTCCAACTCCAGTTCCATGGAGGGTCACTGAATTTTCAGTTTTAACTTCTGCTGCTAAAATGACTAGCTTTTACCCTGCTGCTGGAGCATGCAAACTGCCTTTTTGCTCACTGTAATGGTCTAAAAACCTATTTCAAGTGATATTTTTACAACAGTAAGTGACTTGAAGAAAACTGGATTGGGGCAGATGTTCATGACTTCTTTCCTCCACTTCCTGCTTGCCAGAAGCCCAGGAGTAAGCATGTTGCCTTAGGTTCCACAGAAAACCACAAGGAACAGACTTAAGTTTACAGAAGTATATTTAAAATAAAATTTAAACAATAGTGACACAAACTTACTTTCAAACAAAAGCCTAGAGAAGTGCAGGTAGTTTCTACTCATTTTAACAAGCTGATTCAGTGCAGTTGGAGGGGGCTTGTTTTTAAAACAGATATTGGGACAACTCAGCACTTATTGAGCAATAGTACTCAATATACTGAGAGAGGAAAGAATGCTCAAGCAGAAGAGTTAGCTGCTGGTCAGGTTTCTCAGAAATAAAAGATTCCAACATTCTACCAAACAAAAGCATCATCTTCCAAAAACAGAAAAGAAAAAACATACACTAAAACCTCTGTTTCTTTTTGATACTAATTTTGGCTCCCTGCCCGATACTAGAGGATCCCACAAGAAAAATATTTACTGTTGCAGGATTATCCCACTTGTCCTGAGAAATACAAAAATGCATCACAGAAGTTAACACAAGCAAAGCAGCAGAAATATAGAAAATAGGTTAAACTGAGTTCGTCCTGGTACAAACCAGTAACTACCCTAAAGCATATACTATGTACAACGGTGGAGAAAGAGCTACAGGAAGCAATGTTGTGTGTTTACATGTGATTTAAACAGGAAGGACCCTGGAAAGCTCTGCATGGGATACAGGCCCCAGATTCAATGTCAAGGGTTCAGCATCTTGCGAGAACTCCAGCAATATCCTTCCTTTTCTCACACGCTTCCAAAGAGCCAGACTGCTCCAGAAGGAACATCCTTTGACCATGCTAATGAAGCATTTCATATCTGCTTTTAAATTAACAACTGCTTGTTTATGAAGTTAGTAATTCCTAAACTTCTTAAGAGTTCTAGCTCAGGCTACTACAAACAATCTCAATCTGAAATAAGATCACGTGGATGAGAAGTCACTAAGGAACAGTTATTGCACCTGCTACCTCCCAAGTTATAACCATGTGAAAAATGAAAACAAGTTAATTATGTCTCTAGAAAGACTACCAATACTGGTACAAAAGCTAAAAAGCAGCACTATTTGAAAGAGTCACTCCTTCCAAAACTAAAGAAGATTCAGAAGTTTGGAGTACAGAAGCTTAGATGTTGAACACTGCTGTGTAAAACTGTGCATCCGAGTCACCGACACGTCACCCAGTGCCAGTCCAGTAACCAGAGAGCTGCCTTCTTAGGGTGAGGTTTCTCCACAGAGCCAAGCCAGCTCACCACAAACAAGAGAAGGTTCTGCACTACCTCCTCCTTCCCCACTTCCCCTACCCTAGCCTTGCTCCTTTCCACACCCACATCCCTTCTCACCACCAGCTCAGAGACACACCACCTCTTCCCTTTGCACCTGCTCCCAGGCTTTTACAGTCCCTCCAAACTGCTGACCCAACTAGAAAAAAAAAGTTGTTTGTTTTGTTGGGGTTTTTGTTTGTTGGGTTTTTTTTAATCAGGCTAGTTTTCTGACATTTTAGTAAATTAGATTAGCTTATCATGAGATCACGTGCCTAGAGCTAGCTCAAGATGAGCCATCACAGTGTGCAGCTAAGCAAGAAAGAGGGGTACAAGCCCAGCTCCATTCAGCAGCAGCAAGCTGTTTGATTCAGACTATACACAATCACACAAACACAAGCCTAGCTCCATTCAGCAGCAGCAAGCTGTTTGTTTGATTCAGACTATACACAATCACACAAATTCAGGTTAAAGCAATCTAAGTCAACAGTGCCATGTTCCTGCCTTTCTTCCCATCCTACCTGTTTGTGCCTTTTATTTGCATCAGGACTGTAAACAACTGCGTCTTACAACAAGCCAGCTCAGGGAGCTAAACTAGCAAGAAACTCATTAAATTGACTTAACTATCATAGCGGTGAAGCCTCATATTATGCCTTAATCCAGCAACTCTAGTGCTTTGGAACATTCATGTCTGACAAGGACAAACAACATCAATTCTCCTTCATTCAAAAGGCCTAAATCAGAAAGTGACTTTCCCTAAACTGAATAATTAGTTCCGAATAATTGGCTCATGGTCACAAATTCTAGCAATTCTCCCAAATGAAAACCTCCTTGGACACACACCAACACTACATACAGGCTTTTTGTTATATGTGTAATAAAACAGTACAATTAGAGAGACATTCACTTTGACCATTATGCAATTTTATTTTACCTTTTCGGATCAAAAGCTTCTCCACCTCTGGAACCTCCTCCAGGTGTTCTCCATGCCAGGCGCTCAATGTATTCATCTGCCACAAAAGGCTCCTACTCACAGAATAAAAACTCCTTACAATGTGCCACAGCAGGTTGTTCCGTATGCAGCTGCTTACACATCATTTTGAAAGTGTTCAGAAGCTTTACTACAATCAAGAGCAAGCACGGTGTTGACAATTACCCCGTCACCTCTAACATTTACATATTTAATACAGAGAACCGTTTTCTTAATATGGTGGGTTTGAATATCTAGTCTAGAGATTGCCAGACTACTAGCAAAGAATTTGCTGCAGGTCTGTGAAGAGCTGGCTCTAAATTACCCATCCTTATTTCCAGCTGAGCTTACGGCTGGTCAGTACAAAGCACCTGAACCACGCAGCAGCTACAAATTTGATTTGTAGTATTTCAGATCCTACATCACGAGACCCAGCCTTCACCTGTGCAGCATATCAGATAGGAATCTGCCTAAAAAATTATGTGGAAAAGTAAGTTTTCTTTGCAGTTTCTCAACTCTCTGATGCAGTTCACAACATGGCATCACGAGCAGAACTGACCAAGGCACTGCCCCGTGGCACAACCAGTGCGCGATTGCCGCTGGACACTATGCAACACTAAACTGCAGCTGGAGAAACAAAGCAGATAAAAAGGAAAAAAAACAGAAAGCAAGCATAAAAACAATGATGGACTTAACTTTCCCAAGATGGAAAAACAGGGCATGAGTGATGCTAAAATCACAAGGTTACTCAAGTTTCTTCCATAATATTTGCTGGATCTTCCATAAAAACACAGCACAATGGTGAAGAGTTAAGATTATTTCTCCACCCAGGCAGAGACCTCATTATAAAACTAAGACCTCGTATTTTAGTTGGCCTAATACTTAAACCAGCTCAAACATTTCTTCACATAGTTAATATTAAATACTCAAAACAGTCCAGCACCTATCCTCTAAAAAACAAAGTATTTATCACTTCAGCTTCATTGGTAATCTAGCAGCATTGTTTAGGTGCCAACATCAGCACATCTAAAAATCAGTAAGCAAAGTATTCACACAACCACCAGGATTTCAGAAAGCTTTGAAATTACACGCAGCCATGGTTCTAAACTGTGAAACACAACCCAATGCAGAGCTGGGAGTGGCTCCGGTTAACAGTGGTATTTGCCACAACCCATTTCCAACAATGAAACATCAACATGCCACCACTGCTTTTGATAAAGCTTGGTTTAAAAAAAAAATAAAACCAATAAAAAATAAACAGAGCTCCAGACGTATCAAATTGGTTCCTGTATCAATAGGTCGAAAACCTTGTCAGAAGTAGTAGGAGGGAAAAAACCATCACTATAGTGTTATTTTAGTAACTAAAAACAAGGGTTGGAAAGCAAACATTGCCAGTTCAAGGTCTGTCATTCCTCAGAAACACATTATGCCCTATTCAGTCAGGCCCAGACATTAAACAGAAAGATAAAAGTTTTTAAATATACTTTGCAACACGCTGAATCCTGCTCCACGGGACAGAAGTTTCACCCTTTCAACAGATCACCCAGTAACTCCTCACTCAAAGACTGACTACAGTAACTGTGCTTTGCTCAGCCTCCTCGGTTAAGGTTCAAAAATAACTGGGTGACACCACGTACAAACCATTTCTCCACAAATCACTCATCTCTTTAACCCAGTTCTTCCTGACACACAACATGAAGTTTCCTTCACGTGAATCCTTTTCATCAAAAGTTATAACGCAGTGTTTTCATACCAAGTGTAAATTCTCTCCTTATGCCATCTTTACATCTAAATGTTTGGGAACATTTTTGCAATTTTAATTATAGGTGAAATGAGCCATTCAATACAGTAACATTCCCTTCAGGGGAGTCCTCCAGCTTCCTAATTACCTTATGGCTCTTCGCAGCACTTCTCCTTTATATGAAAATCACAACGACAATCTTTCCTCTGAAGATCCCGTAATTCAGCTGGAGTACCACTCTAGTTACGAGGATACCAATCCCAAGTACAGCGCTATGGAAGAACCCCACATAAAGGCTGCGCTGTTTACTGATGCTCTCTGTGTGTATATAACACTTTCTACATCTCCCTTCCTTCAGATGTTCACACTAAGAGACAGTTCACTTACACACACATAATGGCCTTGAATATTTTTTTCCTCCCCCAAAACATTTACAGAGTTTTTCTGCAAGCCTACCAAAGCCTCCACTCCTAAGGAAATCCGATAAACATGCCCCAGACCCTCAAAAAAAAAAAGATAATGCCAAACTTGCTCTATCCATTATGCCCCTATGCTCCTCTAAAGCTCCCTCGAGCGCACATGTACACAGAGTACCTGCAGCTCCCTCCCCTGTACCCCCAAAACAAGCTGGGCACATGACAACAAACGCTGCGGCTGACCCCAAACTCAGTGCCCCGCAACCAGCCAGGAGGCGAAACCGCAGCAGCAGCAGCCCAGTCCCCTCCGCTGCCCTTCCCGCAGCACAGGCACTCGCGTGTGTCCCCCTCTTCCCCAACGCTCGTCCCGTCTCCCAGTCTGCCTCTCTCCTTCTCCCACATCTGCTATTCTGCAAAAATTATAAACCTGCACTTTGTTTTAACAAGCTGACACATCAAAGAGCATTAATTAGTTCAGTTAGACCTAAATGATGGCAGAATCACGGCTATATCCAGGTGTAGTAATATTTTAAAGGGGCATAACCTGGAAAATACCTGGTTTTCACTGACAGAGGAGACCTGTCCTTCAGTTTTCTTAGTCATATAAACCCTGGTTTGTATTATTTAAGAAATAGCAATTGCATGGGATATGATTATGTGCAAAATACTGACCAACAGAAACAAAATGAGCCTTTTCTTCCAAATTTTCACAAAGCGTGCTAAAAATAATCTACTTGATTTATAAAGAATAAATGAAGTTCGACGATGTCCTTTTAAGACATGATTTCACGGGGTCCACTGCAAATCCAAAACTTTTTAGTCTGGTTTGTATATTGTATCTTCCACATACATTTGCTTTTTTTAATGCTATCTTGATAACAGGGCTACCTATAGCTGACAGCCTAATTCCTATTTTAAGTCTCCTATCCAGTTCTGCAGAAACTGCTGAAAATCAGCTATTACAAATGTCATTTGCAAGTCCTTTGCCTGTTATCAGATGAGCCCCAACAGTCAATTTCTTCGCAGCTTTGAACTTCCCTCTAGCTCTAGATGAATTAACGTGATCCCATCCATTCAGCCAATACTGCTGATTAAATAGGAAGATATGCCTGAAGTTGGTGATAACCTGGTTTGATCTGGTCTGTATAAATGAAACTAAACCGGACCTAGCCACACTAAAAACCAGTTTAGAAGTCAATTACACTTTGAGTTCTATGAGGGAGAAGCGAGTCCATGCTGTGTCCATTTTCAACACCGATCCTTCCACACAACATCACGTATCTATACTGAAAATGACTTTTGAACACACATTCATGAAGACATGGCAATCCCATACCACCCTCAGTATGCAGCTAAGCCATGTTCTAACCTAGATGGCAGTGCCTTCCAACAGAGCAGGCAGCATTAATTCAGCGAAGATCAACAGAACCTCTCTTGCCTTTGGAGAGAAAGAGAAGCGAGAGCAGAAGAGAAAGAAATACTGGCTTCCACACTGGAAAACATAATTTCAAGCCCTATGTCTAGGCAAAAGTCTCACCTACTTTGCAATTTCACCTTGATTGCTATTGCAAAATGGAACAAATTGTTGCATGGCCCAAAGCAGTCAAAACACACAGTTCTCTTTCCACATCCAAGTTATCTCACACTCAACATCCCACAAAACACAGAGCTGCATTGTCATCAGGTTGAGAAATCAACAGACTCCTAGGACAGCTGGAAAGGCGTGGAGAGGGTATAAAACCTGACATCTAGCTACTTAGAACACGGTATATTAGTTTTGCTATTTTTTTACACCATCCAAGCTGGGCAATGTGAGTCATAACCCTCGTGTTGTAACAGCGATTCACAAATACAAGCGCTCACAATACATTTACATAAACGACAGATACAGGATCTTCCAGAGAAACAGGAAGACCTTCCTGAGGGCTGGGCAAAGCGCGTTCCAGAGTTAACACACCGAATGAACAACCGAATGAACAACCGGCTCTTGAGTGACTCAGAGAGCACATACCGGATACCTGGTAACGACACCACATCCCCATGCCCCAGCAAGCAGGGACAAGCACTTTCTGTTAATCAGAGGTCACACACATCATGAGAGCCCACGGTCCAGGTCAGGAGAGAAGAATTTGCCAGACTCCTGCTCTATTCCTGCCCCGGTTGCATGTGGCCTTGGGCAAGCTGTTTGGTTTCTCGCGCCTCAGCTCCGCAGCGGCCAAAGGGAGGGTGAAGTTATTTCCTTATTCAGAAAAGTAGAAGCTACGCTAAGATACCACGGTGGCGGAATCAACTGAGTGTGTTCCTTCGGGAGAAGGAGGGTGGCGGCCGGGCCTGGCACGGCCTGTCACCCTGCCCAAAGCGACACCCCAGCTTCTACAAAGACCTGGGAACCCCAGGGGACGGACGGAGGCCCAGGCTTCAGGGGCACCGCAAGCCCTCGCCCCAGGGAAGGTGAGGGGCTCCATCCTCCCGGGGCATCACCCACGCTCCCCGCCGTTTCCTCAGCCCCCCACACCGGCACCCCCTTTCCTCAGGCTCCCGCGTTGCGCCGTTCGCCCCCCGCACACGCCCTCACCCCGGGCCTGTTTCCCCCCTCGCCCAAGCAGGAGCCCGCCCGGTGAGGGGGGCGACCGCGCCGCGGCGGGG